AGTGGGACCAAGAGCATCCTTTGTCATCCTGTTGGAAGTGGCATCTCCTTTTTGTAGGTAAACCAGGAAATGGGACACGTGAGTTATTTTTTTCTGACCCGAAGGAAACTCAAATCTGCCTCCCAGCCTTGGGAGAGCGGCATGGCTGTGTGGATGGGGTATGGTGATCCCCCCCTCTTGAAACTGGGCTGATGCTTGGGAGAGAAACTAAGGCTCACAGGCCGGGATGCACATGGAGGGGCATCCAGCCTCGTTGGGGGATCCCTGTGACCCACTGGAGGGACTGATGGGTCCACCTGGGGGGATTCATGGCACAGCCCTCAGCAGCCCCTGGGACCCTGGAGCACTGCCACCATCCTTTCGTTGGTTCCCTTAAATAATTATTTTCCTTTCCTGTTGACCTGAGATTTTTATGCAGTGACAGGGCAGACAAAATATTTTAAATGTGGAATAAGGTATTTATACTCCTTTCTGGCTTGGCTATGAGACAGAAGGACAGATGTGGGCTTGGAAACGATGTCATTTTTGTTCTGTCATTTTTGGACCTCCCTTACAAACCGTGGCAGAGTTTATAGGAAAGTGTAAAGCCGCCTTACTTACTTTTTAATTTCAGATGATTGCTTTGGATGGTATTTGAAACGCCTCGGTCTCTTTCGAACCGCTCGGTCAGTAGGGTACAAATTGGGAGAGGATTTTTTGGAGGACAGCTCTGTGTTTTTGTTTGGCTGGGTGGTTTTTGGGTGGCGGAGGAGGAGCCGTCTGTGCTGGCAGCGTGGGCTGTGCTGCAGGCAGCCGTGGAGCGGTACCCAGGCGGGCAGCAGGGTGAGATGCAGAAACTCATCACTCGGGCGCTGCCTCGATGTGTTGCCTCTAAATAGCAGCAAACTGTTTGCGCAACGGGCAGGGTGAGAGGAGTAGTAGTAGAGTTTGGCTGTAAGAAAACGATTTTTGACTATTTTTTTGAGGAGGAAGTTTACTTCTTGGGGATGCTGTTATTGCTCTAAGACCGTGGCTTTCCTGTAATGTCACAGCGATGAGCTTCCTGTGAGGTTTTGCTTTAGATCCTTTTCAAAACCAGACTGAAACCACATCAGAAAGAGGAAATATTTAAGCGTTGCTCCTCTGTCTCTGGGTCCTTGCTGACTGTCTGGTGTTAATCTTAGCAAATGATTCATTGAAATAATTCCGAATCTTCAAATGAATTGTGCTGCTGTGTAGTAACCCTCCAGGATAATACATATGCTTCTGTATGGCGTAACGCATGCTTATCAAAAAAAAAAAAAAAAAAAAAAAAAGGAAAACAAATGCACTGGTGTCAGGCAATCACTTAGATGTGGGAGAGTCAGTAGAGATGAAGAAATGAAGGCCTGGAGCAGCTGCCCAGTTCAGCAAGGACTGAACCAGGCCAGAAATATGGTCATGACTTGCAGAGTTGGCTCTAAGAGACACCAGATATATGGCAATTGAAGAGGTGATGGCTATGGACCAGGCTGTATCCTGCATGCCGGGGCCGAAGGAGCTGGGCTGGCTTTGGGAAGGGGAGAGGCAGCTGCCTGTCAGCATCTACAGAGATGATGGGCTCAGCTCTTCTTGACAGCGACAAAACACGGGGCAGCAACTGTGGGTTGTGGCTTGGGACGTTTGGGCTGGATGTGGGTAGAAAGCCCTTCCCTGGGGACATGTGCTTGGAGGGGTGATGGTCTCCATCCTAGGTTGCCCTCAACTGGCTGCTTACCCGTGGCCTCTGGGCACCGCTGCTCTGGCACCAGGATTCAGTTTTAGGGATGGAAATTGCTTTTTTGGTGAGCATCATAGAAGAATGAGGAGGTTGGTGGAAGGAGCAGGTGCCCGAGCATCAGAAGGGTGCCTTGCACCCCTGCAGAGCTGGGTGTAGCAAACCCTTTCCCTCTGGAGAGGGGAGCTGGGATTTGGGAGGCTCCGATAATGGCAAGGGGGGAAAGAAAAAAGGCTCGTGCCTTGCTCCAGATGGCTTGTGAGGCTTCAATAAGCTTTCAAGTGTTGTGTTATTGCCCATGATCTGGATTGTGGCCATACGCCAAGCACTGATCTTTCAGCAACTGTTATCTGTTTTACACATAAACTGGCTTTCTGTGCCAGTTACAGCTGACATTTTATTAAAATCTACTGTGAATGAACATAAAACATCATTGCATCATTTTTAACATCATAAAACATTATTACATCATTTCATGATGATAAAACATCAACATGGGTACAGCAAAGTGCAGTGGTTTCTGCCTGGGTCAGAGCTACTTGGTTTCAACTCCAATATAACAGAGATCGGAAAGCGAGCGGTTTGACAGATGCCGGCATTTACCAGTCCTGGCGATTATAGTACAATATTGCTCGGCCACGGCTGCAGCCCCCAAAGGCAAGTGGTTAGGTGAGAATTTCTGCTTTTATCGTGAAAAAACAAGTCTTTATTCTCTGTTTTGCATCTTGGACAATTTGAAAGCATGACCCAAGGGTGCATACAGACTCAAAACGCAGCAGGCGAGTGCAGGATTTTAGTAACAGTTTCTTTCTTTTAAATTCTGTTTGGTGAATTGTGAGGCCAAGCTGTAGTTGCTGGTAGTTCAGGTTGCCTTTAATGCTTGAAACCGCTTGTCTTCCTTGGGTGTGTGGATTTTCTTTGTTTTGCCCCAATCCACTTTTTATTCATAAAACAAGCCCGGGCTCAAAACTCCCTTGTTTCATACAGAATTCCTGATTCCAAGGCAGGATCATGTGTGTGGAGGAGCAGTGAAGGGTGTCCTTAATGTTATTCTGGACCAGAATAGGATAATAATGTTGGAAATTAGGGTTCTTGAGATTTTTCTTGGGTTTGTATCAGCATCAGCACAAATTCCAGAGCAGTCTACCATGCTCATTTTCACAAACATACTCGGCTTAGATCTACTCAAGTGAGCAATCTTTCCCTCTTGCTCTCTGAATATAGATAACTGCCATACACATTCATGCATAATATGAATGGTGAAGTGATGAATTCATTAACATTTTGCAGAAATGCCTATTTCTTCTCCTCCGGGCACAGAAGAAAATAGTATGTTCATGCCTGTAGAGAAGATGGGCTGGATCCTGCCTTCCACTACCCTCTTTCTGCCCTGCTCCATGCAGGGGCATGGGGTTAATGGTGGCCTGTACGTAAGGAGGACAGCAAAGCAACCTCCTCATGTGATATATGCCAGTGGGCATGCAGTTCACAGAGTACAAACCAAGCAGTCAGATCAATAAGTCCAGGTTACCCGCGGCCGATGTTTTTTTCTTGCAGAGCAAGGTGCTGCGTGTCCCTGTTCCTGTGGGCCTCCTGCCCCATGGGATGGGTGGATGCCCCGCTGGGACGGATGGACACCCTGCCGGTGCCACCGTGAGTCCTCCACCTCCTGCCCGAGCACGTCCCTTGGCAGTGGCCAGTGTTAGAGGTCGATGGCCATCCCTTAGTCTAAAATGTCTGGCAATGGGTGGTGTAAATGGAGAGCGATTCTGCTGCATCCCTGCTGCACCAGGGTACTCGGGGCCAGGAGGTGCTCACTTCTAAGGTTTGAACCTCAAAGAGGCTTCTTTTTACAAAAATGAGGTAGTGCTCAGAAAAATGAGTAGCAAGCAGAAAATCGTAGAACAGCCCAGGTTGGAAAGGGCCTCAAAAGATATCTGGTCCAACCTTCCACGGGAAGGGGAGCCTAGATGAGCTTATCTAGCACCCTGCCCGATCACATCTGGAAGACCTCCAGTGATGGGGACTCTACCATGTCACTGAGGAGGTTGTTCCAGTGAGTGAGGGTTCTCATTGTAAAAAATTTCTTTCTTATGTCAAGATAAAACCTCTCTTCGTGCAACTTGTACCCGTTTGCCCCTTGTCTTCTCCATGTGGCACCTTGTGAAGAGACAGCCTCTGTCCTCTTTGTAACTGCCCTTTACTGGAATGCTGTGATGAGGTCCCCCCGCAACCTTCTCTTCTCCAGGGAGAAAAGACCTAACTCCTTTCAGCCTTTCCTCACAGGGCAGGTTCTCCAGCCCTTTGATCATCTTTGTGGCCCTCATTTGGATCCTCTCCAGTCTGTCTGTGTCTTTCTTGAATTGTGGGGTCATGCCAGTGTGATTCCTGTCTTGAATTGTGGGGTCAAGCCAATGTCATTCCTGTCTTAGCACTGCTGTGATGCATGTTGTATGCGCTTGTTAGAACAAGCACCGCCAGAGAAAGCCATCCCTGAGAGCAGATTTAGGATGAGCCTTGTTGCTTGCCAGGAGGGCTTGTTCCTGCTCACTGATTGTGAAGGGGGCTGGGGGACTAGTCCAGCCATCGATGTCTGTGAGGTGCTGGAGTTCAGGCGTGCGGCTCCTGTGCAATCGGTCTGCCGGACACATTCCCGTGGCTCTCCAGCTACATCGTCTCCTTACCATATTAAGAACATCTGGAGAAAATGATTTATAAACTCTCTTCCTTGATAGCGTTGGCTGTATTTTATGTCTCAGCAATTTTCTGTATTGCTGAACTATTATTCATGAGCAGATTTTGTGGCAAAGCCTTTCCCAGACTTTAGCCCTATTGAATATGTGGCTGGGTCCTCACCTACCCTTCTTTCCTTCTTCTTACCCACTCCCTCTTTCACTTTTGCTCTGACTTTGTTGGCTTCATGTCCCAGGGCCATGCCTTGATTTGTGAGCTTGTCACTGTCGGCTCTTATAAGCTGGGCTGTGCCAGCCTTGCTTTTTATCTGGTCTGGGGACCTCAAAGGCCAGCCTGGGTCGGTGCATGGAACATGACTTGGTGGCTGCCTCTTGTTCCTCAGAGCTAATGTGTTATTTGAGTGGTGAGCACAGCAGAGGTGGTTGGCTCAGTGGCCTCAGCAGGCCTTCTCAGGTACCTAACCATGCGCAAGAAAACCTTTTGGACTTCTGTCATAAGTCATGGCTTTATACTTTGTCAGTCAAGGGATTTATTTACTGACATCCCTTTCTTCTTTCTTGCAGGCTCCACATCTGTTTGTTACAAGCCTACCAGCCCAGTCCAGGTACTGGAAGACGCTGGCTTTCTTTACCAGGATCACCAGTTGTTTGCTGGCAGGCATGAAGTTTCTCCGCTAACAGCTGAAGCAATCAGTGCCAAAGAAAAAGCTGGTAAGTGGGTGGCCACACTTCCATACAAACCCACCGCATTTACTTCCAGGTTTTTCCCGAAGCGTAAATTGAGCAGTTTAAACCATTTACAAATAATATGTACAGAGTTGAAGGCCAGCTTCTCATCCTTGGTAGGGTCAAAGGGGAGTTGCCTTGACTTGAGTGTTATGACCCACCATCGTTTGTCACCTGTGCTTGTGGAGGATGCAACATTTCTGCTTGTCCTTTGGGACATGGCTGCTCTTCACTGCACAGTTGGACCAAGGTCCATAGGTTTTTTCTGATGGAGCAGGACCGTAGGCACCCTGTGCAAGGCTCACCGTGGTCAATCCTTTTGGACCTCAACAACAGGGAACTAAAGTACATCTCCCAGATATAAGGATGCTAACGGATGTCTAGCTCAGGGGTGAAAATCCTTATACTGTATGATAAAGAGCTGCCTTGACAATGTGGCGTTGGCTTTTTCAACTTTCCGCAGGCTTATCTCAGGCGTAGTCTAACAACGTGATCTCTTCTCCCTCATAGAATCATAGAATGCTTTGGGATGGAAGGGACCTTTAAAGGTCATCTAGTCCATCCCCCCTGCAATGGACAGGGACATCTACAACCAGATCAGGTTGCTCAGAGCCCCATCCAGCCTGTCCTCCTCCCTGATGACCAATGATAGGACCCGAGAGAACAGCAGGAAGATATGCCAGGGGAGGTTTAGGCTGGACATTAGGAAAAGGTTCTTCACCCAAAGGGTGGTGGAGTATTGGAACAAGCTCCCCTGGGAGGTATTCATGGCACCAAGCCTGACAACATTTAAGAAACCTTTGGACAACGTCCTCAGACATATGGTGTGAATTTTGGGATTGTCCTATGCAGGGACAGGAGTTGGACTCAATGATCCTTGTGGGTCCCTTCCAACTCAAGACATTCTATGATTCTGTGAACGTAGACTATGAGCTTTCTGGTACGTTAGGGAGATTTTATTGCATGTCTGCAAAAATGTCAAGTATGGTGAGGCTTCTGTGTTCTGTGATAACACAAAAAGCAGTAAGAGGTTGCTGTAGCTGTGGCGGCATATAAAGTAGATGGGTACTTGGCTGTTGTGCAGGTGGGTAGATGGAGGTGTGTGTGTCCGTGCATCTTGTTGGCTCAAACACTGGCCCAGGGAGCTGACAGACCCTCTGAAAGCTGGTGGCCAGGCTGCAGCCCCAGCGAGTCAGGTTGGTAGGCAGATAACGTTGTCTCAGGGAAAGCAGGAGAGGTGTATCTCACAGGGCAGGCGTGGGGTGAAACAGCCTGGGAATCTTCTCTCCCTGTTGAGCCCCACAATCATCTTTAAGGCTTTCTTGCAGAAATATTAGTGGAAGTGACCTATTCTCATAGTTAAGAGTCGAAGGCTTTTCTTCCCCTCTGGCATCTGGGTTGTATATAAGTTATCCCACAGCATGTGCAGTAACTGATGAAACCTCAGGGAAATACCAGACCTCAAGAGAAAGTTTGCTTTTTAACTACTTTCAAATGCCAAAAAACAAATGTAAGTACTTCTGAAGAACTCCTCTGAGAATTGGAAACAGCAGGAGAGAGAAAGTTGCCAAGAATGACCTCAAAAAAACTGAACTCAAAACAGCACCTTCTTTTTCCCTAGGGACGTGGGAAGGCTCTGCCCAGAGCTGTGGGCTTATTCTCACTTTTGTCCACACCAGGGTCTTTCAGGAGCACCCCTCTGGGCTCAGACGCTGTTCAGACGTCTCCCGGGAGGGAGGGATCCCAGCCTCCCTGCCCTGGTTATATGCCATTAGATGCTTAGCTCCAGGCAAGCTCCACTGTGTATATGGTGCAAAAATGGTACAGTTGCCTCTGAATTACTTCAGTAGCCTGTGTTAGGGTTGTGCAGCTGATCCGTCTGTGCTCTTTTTAAAATGCTGGCGTTACATCTATGACCATAACGCCTTCCTTGTACTCACCCAGCAAAGTTACAAAAGTTAGTATTGAATCCCTTAGAAATAGCATTATTGGCCAGAAGGGAAATTGCAGTTTTAGGTGAAGATGCCAGAGCGCAGATTGTTCTTTAATTGCACTTTTAGGACCCTTTTATTTTCAGCATCATTTCACAGTTTTTCTGCGACACATTCTGCATTTTATTTTGCTATGGCAGGCAGTGCACTTAAGAGGGGATTTGACTCATCTGGCTTTGGCCATCAAAAATGCAGCATCTCATTTAGAGGCAGCCTGCATGGCAATACTGGAGGCCGTGCAAGGCATCTCTGGGGGGGGTGGTCAAACACTGGAACAGGCTTCCTAGAGAGGTGGTCGATGCCCCAAGCCTGTCAGGCTTTAACGGGCATTTGAATTCTATTCTGTTCTGTTCTATTCTGTTCTATTCTGTTCTATTCTGTTCTATTCTGTTCTATTCTGTTCTATTCTGTTCTATTCTGTTCTATTCTGTTCTATTCTGTTCTATTCTGTTCTATTCTGTTCTATTCTGTTCTATTCTGTTCTATTCTGTTCTATTCTGTTCTATTCTGTTCTATTCTGTTCTATTCTGTTCTATTCTGTTCTATTCTGTTCTATTCTGTTCTATTCGTATTTTAGAAAAGACCAAATCTCCCTGTGACATTGCCTGTCCCTCTGTTGACTTCGGAGGGGGTTCAGAGCCGTGGGTGTGGGATGCATGGAGTACTAATGGAGAGGAGGGCCGGGCGGGGACAGGAATGTGGTTTTAGGGGTCACTGCAGACAGAATTAGGGATGAGCTGGGGTGAGGGGATGAGCAGGGAGCAGTGCCCTGTCTCCTTTGGTTGCTTCCAGCCATGTCCCCTCTGCTCCCAGGGGTGCCCTGGCAGGGCACTGCCCTGGGGGTGCATCCTGGGCACAGGGTCACAGCCGTGGGGTGTAGGAGAAGAAAAAAGGGGGGGATCGGACCTCCCGGGCAGCAGAGCTAATGGCCGCCTCTCTCTCTCCCTGCCCAGCCGAGGAGGCCCTCTGCACCCTGCGCCCACCCAGCTTCCGCCGGGTCCCAGAGGCAGAGATGCGAGGGGCGGAGGAGGTGGCAGCCGGCACCGTCCTGCAGCGCCTGATCCAGGAGCGGCTGAGGTATGGCAACCCCAGCGAGAACATGAACCTGCTGGCCATACAGCACCAGGCGACGGGCAGCGCCGGCCCCTCCAACAGCACTGCCAGCACTCTCTCTTCCGCAGAAAACCTCGTGCCCGAAGAGCCGCCAATGGTCCAGCCGTCGGGGCGGCAGGAACCACAGGGGCAGGAGCACCAGGGGGACGGTGCTGCGATGGAGAAGCAGCCCCGGGCCCCGCAGCCCCCGCACGGCACCGAGGAGCTCCCCACCTACGAGGAGGCCAAGGCCCAGTCTCAGTTTTTCCGAGGCCAGCCGCCGGCCGCTGCCGCCGCGCCGGCTTTCTATGGCGCGTCCGGCCAGAAGTCCAGGACGGAGGGGAGGCCGACGGTGAACCGGGCCAACAGCGGGCAGGCACATAAGGACGAGGCGCTGAAGGAGCTGAAGCAGGGCCACGTCCGCTCGCTGAGCGAGAGGATCATGCAGCTCTCGCTGGAGAGGAATGGGGCCAAGCAGCACCCCCCGGCCCCAGCGGGCGGGAAGGGCTTCAAGGCAGCCCCGCCACCCGGCAAGGCCACGGACCCGCGGGGCCCGCCGCCCGAGTACCCCTACAAAGGCAAGGCGGCGGCCCCCAGCAGCAAGGCACAGGAGCACGGGCTCTTCTATGGCGAGCAGCCGGCGCAGGATGTCCTCAAGGCCTCCTACGCCGCCCCCCAGCCCGCCCGGGCGGAGGTGGCCCTCGTCCGCTACCAGCCGCCCCCGGAGTACGGGGTCAGCAGGTAATGGGTAATGGCCGTCCGGGGGGGTGGGTCTGCCGGAGGGGCCCTGATCCTGCCCTCAGTGGAGGAGCCGGCTTCTGTGGGGCTTGGGCCTCGCATATACGTGGCCCCTGTGATCTTCAGCCTCAGGCACGTGGTGGGGACGTCGCACCGCTGCGGCCGGGCCCGCACGGGATGGCTAGTGGAGGCACCTGCATCTCCAAGAGGGCCGTATAAAGCACATACGCCACTAAAGCCCTACTTAAATCTTCCCAACAGAGCTCACGTGGGGCTTTCACGGTACTGGGCCCCTCGTGCTGGGCCTCCCCGTGAGCAGGGGTTGATTCCAAGCGCATTAAAAATAATCCGGAGCGTTTACTCATTGCGAGCTGATCCCTGCGAGCGGCGCGGGTCCTGCCCCACGCCCAGGCGGGTTTGTGGCCTTCAGAGGTGAGCCCGTGCGTTGAGGGCTCCCTTTCCCTTGCTGTACCTAAATACAAGTGTTTCTCTGTCTCATCCCTCTCTCTTTCACCGCCCAGATGGTATTTTGCTGGATTTGGTGTTGTCTGGTGTGACTGTGGGTGGTTTTTGTGTTGCAAGCTGCCTCATTAGGTCTTTTCTGACCCCAAAATCCCTACAGGTTTTGTTGGCATTGACTTAAGTTGCACGCGCATATTTTGCCGCAGCGCAGGCACAGAGGAAAGATGGTGCGGCTAACCCGGCTCTTCCTTTCCGAAATTTGTAAGACATGAAATCAGGGTGTGAATGATCTGCCTTTCTGACTGTGCAAAAGTGATGGGTTTGGTGTCAAGACGGGGAGGAACTCGGAGCGTGGCTTTGCTGAATGCTGCAAGGCAGTTGTGACAAGTGGAGGGCCTGCACTGAGCGCCGCTGGCCTTCCTCCAGCTACATGTGTATTTTGATTACCAGCCTACCACTGTGTGGAGTTTGTGTAATTTTTTCAGAGCGAGATGATATTTTTAAAAGCTCAGCGAAAATCTCTGTTTATGCTAAGAAACAGCTATACGAACTCGACGGCAATGGGGTCGAGCTGGGGCTGTGCTCTGCCACAGTTGTTCACGGTGCTAACAAACATCTCTGGCACCAAGCAGATTCATCCCCACAGAAAAGGAGCTCGTTTGGAGTTTTTATTACTCTTGGAAAAAGGTGACTCAATACCCACAGAGTCTGTTCTGCTGAGTTCATGTAAGCGAGCGGACCTGGGCGCTGCAAGCACTGCTGCAGCTAACTAGGAACCGCACTGGTGTCAAGTGGAAACCCTTTGGGACCAGTTTCAAAACCTTGCCCAGGTGCCTGATCAGCAAAGTTAATGCTGAGAAACTCCTTGATTTCAGCGCAGCTTTCCACACCGGCAGTGCCGGCCAGCCCCCAGCCTTATCCCAAGGTGCTGCTGGATCACCCCAGCAGTTGCGGGGAGAAACCCCGAGTCTCATGGTGGTGGTTACTGCTTATTCCATGTAAGACAGCATGGTTTAACCCCCAAATCACACTGCAAAGGGGATGCCTGCTACCCTTACATGCTGTTTTCTTTGCATGATGGTGGAGAAATGTCTCTCCTGGCAGGTTCAGGGGTGCCGAGGGGATGTGTTGTGCAGCAGAGGACTGGCAGCATGGCAGAGCAGAGCCACTGCGGTTTGCGGATTTACTAAAAAATCTTGGGTGGTGTCTTTCTTGCAGCTCAGTGCGGGCATATATTCACTCCAGCGTGTGTTCCCAGGGGAAGTTTAGGATATTGGCATAGCTGGGGGGGTGTTTCACCAAAGCTCAGTTTGGTCTAAGATGTATGGTCTCTCTTGTGCTTTCTCTAAGGTGGTTCTGGGTCCTGGTGTGCAGACGGGGATTTTCAGGTCCTTCTTAGCTCCTTTCACGTAGTGCCTGGATTTTGGGGGATGTTTCCTGCCTGCGTGTTCCCGCTGGCTACATTTTAGGCAGTAATTAGCACTAGCAGGACAGTTGCTGACTTGCAGGCTGTGTCTTGTGCCATTGCTTTGCACGGCGCCAGCAGCTGGGGGAACAGTTGGCTGTGCAGGAGATGTCGGCAAGCAGTGGTCTTCATCCTCATCTTGGGCTTTTTTCTGTGATATTTTTCGATACAGGAATGTCAACGTTTCACTTTGTTTGGGTGCACTGAAATATTCACTGTTGGCATTACCCAGACTTGTTCTTAATTGGTATGAACTGGTTTGGCTTCTTCTCCTGTGCCATAGCCCAGCTTATAACTGGCCCCATGGGCTGCAGGATCCCCTTATGGCCCTGTTACCTGGGAAGATCTGGGTGACAAAAACCTTTAGGAAGTGGCAGTAGTCCCAGTGTGCTCATCACTTGCCATTTCTCTGTCTGCAGCAGCTGTGCTCTGGTGCATCCCTGCGCGCATCTCGGGCTGCATCGCAGGAGAGGCTTGCCCGGGTCTGGAATGAGCAATTTCACAAAATGGCCTCCGCCCCAAACATTCCTCTCTATGGAGAGGGTTAAGGCAGCCCCGTCTCTGCTAGAGGACTTGTCTGGGCGGCTGCCCCTGAGCGCTGCTGGAGGAGAGCCGGGGGCTGTGTTACACTGCTGGGTTGCTCCTGAATGCAAACCTTTCTGTGCCTCTGCTCTTGCTTTCTGCTTCCCCCCTTACCGGGGCTCTGGAGAGGGTCACAGCCAGCCATCTGGCTGGGTTGGAGGACCTTGATAAGAGAGACTAAGGTAGGGGACTGCCCAGTTTCATCAGGTTAGTGGAAGAGTAGAGTTTGGAGAAGCTGTTTTTTGTGTTAGAGGAGCAAGCAAGGTGAGAAATTCCAGCTTTCATCTCATTGGGAGGGCCTGGAAAGAAGCTAATGGAAACAGAGCTTTCCCCGTGGTCAGATGGGAATCTCGTATATCCTAGCTTCTTCTTCCCTCGGTCTTGGCCATATCTGTTCCCCAGCGCATCCATCCTGGCATCCTCTGGACAGGGACTGTGCAAAAGGCTTCTGCCTTCCAGATAAGAGAGGAGAGGAGCACGGAGCTGCATTGGTCCAGAGCAAGTACCCACAGATACCAGGGATGGAAAAGACCCGTAGGGTCACAGATCCCCCGCTCCCCCTCAGTCCTTCTGTGATGAGGGAAATGTCTCTGGAAACCCACAAATGCTGGCAGGGAGCTGTTGAAGGAGATGGGATAACTGCAGCTGCTGTTTCACTTGCTTTTTTTTGGTTTGGCTTTATTTTTGCACGTGGCTGGTTTTAAAGGGAACGTTGCCTTTATAATCACCGTGGTGAAATCTCACAACTTTACTGTAAATCTCAAGATATTTGGTATTGTCCTGAAGACCTCCTAGAGTCATATGATGCTGTGGTAATCTCAGCATTTATATAAATTAGACTTAGTGACCTCTGCTTTATGGACATCACGATTGCAGAGCAGAGCTTCAACCCTGAAGCTTAAAAGGCCAAAAAAACAGAAGGCAAATAAAAAGGAACCAATATTTGTTCCTGTTCTAAAATATCAGTATTTTTAAGCCAGTTGCATGATGCCTGGGGCCCTGACTCACGCCTTCTGAATGCTTTAAGTTGGCCAAGTGTAATAACCTTTAGAAAACCTTTCCTTTCCTAGATGTGCAGCTATTCCTGAATAGTGTCTTTGCAAACTTTCCTTAGGTGCATGCTCAGAGAGCCACAGCTTGTCAGGTAAAAGGGCTTGGAAATAAACTAATTTAGTCTTTTGCACAAAGCTGTGAATTAATTCCAGTTTGTGAAACATTCAGTCCTGGTGATTATAACACTCTCTGTCTGGAGAACCCATCACGGCCTTTACAGACTTGTTCCACTAGCTAATTGCCGTCTCTGGCACAGATCTGCATCTTAGTTTTAGCCTGTATTTTCTAGTTACCAGTTGGGATTTTCCTATAGCTTTGTCAGATACAGTGAGGAGCCCTGTGGTATCAGTCCTTTGATGCATGTAACAGATGAAGCCTGGAGCCCCATAATTATTTCACTGTTGTCAAAACCGCTTTTTTCACTGTGGCATGCCGACCTGGACACCATTGCAGTACCAGCTGAAACGGAGACTAATCAGATATAATATCACCTCTGCGACACGCTCAACGTTCCTCGTTCATGTAGCTCATTAACACTTGTCGTTTCAGACATCGGGACCCCGGGAGCTCCCCATCCAGCTTGTTATCCCGTCAGGCATGTGAGGGTAGTCACAGCCCAGGACAGGATTTCCCACCCTTTTACTGTAGCCTGCTGTATTTATTCCTGGGTGGATGAACTTGGACCTGCTCAAGTCCATGTTGTTTCTCCGTGCCCTGCTTAAGCAGTGATCCAGATCACTCAGTGCAATGAATCCTCTTCATTGCTCCCAGTGGCCCTTGTTGGATCCTGGTGTCTTTTATCCAGAATGATTTCTTTCTCTGCACCGATAATAAAAAGCGTGTATAATGCAAATGAAGCCTTGAACTGGAAACACCACTGCTTGTTGAAGGACTTCATTCGTGGCTACGTGCAGAAGTCAATCATGCAGGCACCTTTTCATTCTGATTTAATCCATGCATTTTAAAAGCTGGCATGCAACTGAAGAATAAATCCGGGCTGTTTTTAAAGATATCCCAGTCTTTTACATGCCTCATAAAATTCTACCCTGCCTGGATGTAGAAGCCTATATTTAACTGCCGGGATAGTCTGTGGCTTCTCTGGTTATTTGTGTATTAACCCCCCACACACACATTGCCGCTCTTTTCACACAACCTGTTGATATTTACTCATTCAGCCACATGTCCGTGGCTGCTGAGGGGACTACAAGGAGCTCCTTTTCCTCCCAGAGACACCCCAGGCAGCTGACTTCTGCTGGCATTTCTCTGCGAGGATAGCCCAAGCACGAGCGTGGGTTGGAGGCTGCGCTTCCAGCTGACGTGGATGCTGGCAGCCCTGCAGAAGAGCTTTGTATCCTCTCCTTCTGGTCTAATCTGCCTTTTATTAAAATAAATGGAAGAGAAATTAAGCCGGTCTCACAGCTTGGGTGATGCCCATGTCATT